TTATTATACAGGACAACAGATAAAATTTAGCTGTTTAGATTCACAGAAGAGTGATTAATGTACATTGTTCTTTTAAATAAATTAATTAAATATGCTAATTTTAGCTTTTTTCTGCTATTTTAGCTATTCTGTTGATTTCTGCTTTTTTTGCTTCTTTCTGCTAATTTGAGTTTTTGTGCTTCTTTCACATTTCAGATGAACTTTCATTAAACTTTAACTTTCAGCTAAGGTTTTCAGCAAGAAGGATTTACACTAACATTTTCTCTAGTTATTATTTATCTTCCTCCGTATGTTATTGTTAAGTTTTAGCTGTTATGGGACTCAACCACCTGCATCTGTGGAGCCACGTGGCTCTTCAGTCCCTGTAAAGTGGCTTCTTGTAACTTCCACTAAAAACATGAACCTGAATCAGTTTTGTCCATAAACTATAAAACTGAAAAAACTGCACTTTTAGCGGTTTACGTGTCCAGGTTTTTGTGATGTGTGCATGAAATTTCTGCAGGAGAATGACACGAGTTCCTGTTTAAACTCAACATTTAACTGGGTTCATTTGCATTTCCTGTGAGAATACAGTGTTATTGCTGAGTGCAAATGACTTGGCTAAAATTTGTTGAAAAAAAAAATCCAAACCCAACAGCTAAAAGTTAAAACTGATAAAACTTTTGCTAAAAGTTGAAATAAGCAAAACAGTTTGTTCAAACTTAAATGATCAACTCCACAGTCTGAGACTAAAATTGGCAACATTGTGGTTAAAAGTTTATTAGCATCACAGTATCCTTGTGTTTGGTTCATGAGGGCAGCAGCTGGCTCTAATGCAAATGTCCTTGAAGTAGATTAATTTGAAACAAAAAAACAAGAGAGTACTTTCAGTTTATATTTATGTACTTCAGAGATGAGATATACTTAAAGTTTGTGTTAATTATACTTGGCTTATACTAAAAATACACTAAAAGTGTAGTTGGTAAATAAAAATACACTTGGCACAATAGACTTCAACTATACTTAAGTACAGCGGGTAAAATAAGTATTGAACACGTCACCATTTTTCTCAGTAAATATATTACTAGAGGYGCTAATGACATGAAATTTTCACCAGATGTTGGTAACAACCCAAGTGATCCATACATACAAAGAAATCAAACCATAAATGTCCAGAAATGAAGTTATTTGTAATAATGTGGAATGGCACAGGGAAAAAGTATTGAACACATGAAGAAAGGGAGGTGTAAAAAGGCATGGAAAGCCAAGACACCAGCTGAACTCTCTCAATAATTAGAAAACAAGCCTGCCCCTTGTCAGTGCAAATTAATATCAGCTGGTTCAGTCCCAAATGATGGCCAGGTATCACACAAGAACCATCTGATGATGGGTAAAAGTAAAGAGCTCTCTCAAGACCTTCACAACCTTATTGTTGCAAAGCATAATGATGGCATCGGTTACAGAAGAATGTCTAAACTTCTGAAGGTTCCAGTGAGCACTGCTGGGGCCATAATTCAGAAGTGGAAAGAACATYATTTCACCATAAACCGACCACGACCAGGTGCTCCTCACAAGATTTCTGACAAAGGAGTGAAAATAATTATCAGAAGAGTTGTCCAAGAGCCAAGGACCACTTGTGGAGAGCTTCAGAAAGACCTGGAATTAGCAGGTACGTTTGTTTCAAAGAAAACAATAAGTAATGCACTGAACCRCCATGGCCTGTATGCACGCTCACCACGCAAGACTCCACTGCTGAAGAAACAGCATGTTGAAGCTCCTTTAAAGTTTGCTGCACAACATTTAAACAAGCCTGTGTAATACTGGGAGAATATAGTCTGGTCAGATGAGACCAACATTGAACTCTTTGGATGCCAGAATACACATCATGTTTGGAGGTCAAATGGCACTGCACATCAGCCCAAAAACACCATACCAACAGTGAAGTTTGGAGGTGGGAACATCATGGTGTGGGGCTGTTTTTCAGCATATGGTACTGGCAAACTTCAAATAATTGAAGGAAGGATGARTGGAAAAATGTACAGAGACATTCTTGATAAAAATCTGCTTCCATCTACCAGGATGATGAAGATGAAACGTGGCTGGACATTTCAGCAAATGAGCCCAAACACAAAGTCAAGGAAACTCTCAGTTGGTTTCAGAGAAAGAAACTAAAGCTGCTGGAATGGCCCAGCCAATCACCTGACCTGAATCCAACAGAAAATCTATGGAAAGAACTAAAGATCAGAGTTCATAGAAGAGGTCCACGAAACCTTCAAGATTTGAAGACTGTTTGTGTGGAAGAATGGGCCAAAATCACACCTGAGCAATGCATGCCACTAGTTTCTCCATACAGGAGGCGGCTTGAAGCTGTCATTGACAACAAAGGCTTTTGTACAAAGTATTAGATAAATTTCAGTAAGTGTGTTCAATACTTTTCCCCTGTGTCATTCCACATTATTACAAATAACTTCATTTCTGGACATTTATGGTTTGATTTCTTTGTATGTATGGATCACTTGGGTTGTTACCAACATCTGGTGAAAATTTCATGTCATTAGCACCTCTAGTAATATATTTACTGAGAAAAATGTTGACGTGTTCAATRCTTATTTTACCCGCTGTATTTTATGAATGAAACAAACTTTATGAATGAATGAATGAAAGTCAGCAGGCTAAAAATGAGGTACATGTTCACAGTGATGTTATGTCCACCCACATGCACACAGATCCACCTAAAGGTCATATGCCCCAGGCAAAGATAAAAAATATTACCTAAACAAATTATTAACCAACAAATTTATTCTAAACAACTATAACTAGAACATTTTCACTTCCTGCAAAAATGCAGTGTGAATGCTCAATTCTGAAAGATGGGGGGGGGGGGGTAATTTAGCTGACAAAAGCTCATATTTGTTAAAAGTTAAAAACAGGAAACAACGGAAATGAGCAGAAAGCAACTGAAAGAAGCAAACAAAGCTTAAATTAGAATTAAAACAAGTTGCAATTAAAAATAGCAGAGAAAGTCAAAAGGATTTCTATAAAAGCTAAAATGACTAAACAATTTGTATTAATGAGTTCAGAAAATAACCCAAATTGGCTTTTACAGTCTACTGACCATAGAAAATACAAAATTATCTATAATTCAAGCAATTTTACAGATATTAAGGTCAGATTCGTGTGGATGTAGCCAGGGCTGCACAATATATATCACAAATGTATGCCATTAAAATATCAGTCAACACAACATCAACAAAAGGACTCTTTGAACAGCAGAAAAACACAGGCAATTATATTAATCAACATTTAAAGTTAACTATTCACTGCTGCCAATTAATCTTAGCCAACACAAAAATAGCTATAACTCAATAATAATAATAATAATAATAATAATAATAATAATAATAATAATAATAATAAGTGATGTGGTGGTGGCTGAGTCTTTCACAAGAGTGACATTTGTGATGCTGCATGAGATATTGTGCCCAGCTGTATTTGCAAGGTTTGACCAATACTGCTACAATTCTTACAATTTCTCTTCACAAGATGATATTAGTCTAAACTGTTGTATAAAAAGTGTCGAGCGACATGCATTCCTTCAACAATGTCGCAGTTAACGCCATCAGCAGCAGCGGTGTGGTTTTGTCGCCGCCCAGTGGCCACGGCCGGTACTGACGGTGTTTGAACGAGGGACGGTTTTTCTCGCAGCGGTATCAGGATAACAAGCCCGCGGGTCTCAGTTGTCGTGTCTAACCCTCTCATTGGACTAATGATGAGCTGAAAATATCAGCTGCAAATTTCCTGAAGACTCCTGCGTTTCTGGCGAAGGAGAGACGAGCTTTCCTGCCCGCGCTGTTTGTTTATCTTCATGGAGTCGTCGGACTGGAGTTTGTCTCAGATCTCCCCGCTGCTGCCCGTGGATTAACACGGGACTCGTCYCTTCTGTGAAGAGCTGTGATATCAACTTAACAGCGTGGATCGTGTTTCCATGTCGAAGACGAATTGTTTTTTCTTTTTTTAAAGGCTACTTTGTTCTCGGTTTGGGGGAAAACAACGTGGAAATTCTGTGAAGTCAACACAAGACCCGGCGGACACTTGTTGAAAACCGTTTCGTACCGAGCAGATCTTTGCTAATGTTTAAGGGACTAACTTTAAAGTCGCTTTTTATACAAGACTAACGGAAGAGTGAAGAAATGAGTAAGGACGATTTTGTCTAAATTAACTGAGATGACACACACAGCTTAGCTAACTTGGCTAGCTGCCGCTGCTTCGGCTCTCGGTCCACTTGATGCTGTTAGCGACGACAGCTAACGTCATGTAAATATAGATTCAAACAAGTAGTTCATGGAACTGTCTTAAAATGAAGTTAAACGGAGTAAAAACTTCTAKTTGTTGAGTATTTTTTCCCGCGAAAGTTGCTGCAAATAACGAGCAAACGCAAACACCAGCAGAGACTTTTGTTTACTCCCTTTTTGTGTTAACAACTTTTTATTTAAGGGCGCTTAGCTTAGCATCGTTAGCTCGGTTCGGATCAAAGAGCCGAGCTSTCTGCCGGTGGGAACCCGGGTTTTACGGCTCGTGCGCGGGGTGTGTTGTGAACGTCTGATGGGTTTGCTGCAGCCTTCGCTCACAGGCTTCGGAAGATAGACCCCCGGCTCCACACACGCTCCACACTTTTTTGTTGTTGTTTAAACCAAGAAGCTGAAGTTGGGGGAAAAACTGCGGCCCGCACACGATGTCCGGCTCCGCGGGCACAGGTGGCTCGACCCCCAGGAAGTTCAGCGACAAGATCGCGCTGCACAACCAGAAGCAAGCAGAGGAGACGCGGGCCTTTGAGCAGCTCATGACGGACCTGACTGTGTCACGGGTAAATAAATCCATGTTCTTCACTCTCAGATGGCCCTCTGCGGTCAGCCTGACAGGCCACTTCTGCCGGCTCAGATCTGTGCCTTTCAGACTGCTGCACAGCTCAAACATCMAAACTCAGGTGTACAATTAAAGTATTTTAACATAATAAAGAAGTACTGAAGTATGGAATATGTTAATGTACTGGACAAAGTTTACAACATAATTTTGTAGTAATTAAGCTCAGATACATGCCTATTTTTTATTGTCTTAAGGAAAACARAGATATAAAACAAATGTTTACACTGCTGCCAGTGTCTCATTATGATCACCATGGTAACCACTCACCTGTGCCTGTCACTCCCAGACTGCCATGTTAGTGATGACAGATAGAAAAGTGACACTGATGGTCACACGCACATTTTGATGTGTCTGCAGTGTTTTCTGTTTGAGATGGGACAAGAAGACTTCACGTCCAKTTTTAAAATAATATTTCAGCTAAAAGTCCATTGAGGTCTATGTCAGGCTGACTGTGCACTCACTGCTTCCTGTGGGGTTTGACAGAAAACAAAGTCCTGCAGCAGTGACAAACACACTTGGTGAATAGAAGTGCATGTTTGGCTCATCATTAATGTGGTTAGCAAAATATTATTAGTTTGTAACATCATAAATTGTCAGCTGAATATCCTGCAATAAAATCTTCCAAAATCACAAAACTTAAACTACAATTTCGTAAAAAAACATTAAATATTAAAACTCTCTTACTGACTAAGCTGCATGTTTTRCTGTGTAATATGGATGCTTTATTTCAAAGTTGTGCAAAGAGATAGAGGGGAAAAAAGTTGATCAGGATTTTATTGAGGGTTCTTCAAAGCAATGCAGCTGCACCTTTAATAGAGCTGCTCAATGTGTTGCTACATCAGTGTACAGTATAAGAAATAATAATAATAATAATAATAATTTGCAGACTCAACCTGCATTCAAAAAATTTGGCAATCTGATGAAGCCCCACTCCTCACATAGAGAGTGTTGGGGTTGTTACTGAATGTGTTTTATCAGTGTGCATTGCCAATGCAATGCACACTATTGTGATTAGTTTCCCATCCAAGTCATCTCCACTTTGGCAYGCTTCTCCTCCTGCATACTTTGTCCTCCAGCTGCTATGTAGTTTATATCTGTAAAGCTCCTSTGCCAAATGATGGCTTTGCCTTTTGGTGCCTGTACAACTTATAGTTTTTGAAATATTAATGTTTAATAATTTATAATGGGAGTCAATGGAGCCTTGTATTGGTCCAATACTGCCCCCTGCTGTACTCAACTTGGTACTGAATCATAGTTTAATAATATTTAATCTCAATAGTTCAGTGGTTACAATACTAATATGATTRTATTTTGATGTTTTACTATTATTGTCCTAATATTGCTCTATTGCTGTAATATATTGCAGTTTAGTGTCAACAATTGCATTGGCAATGTGGCCCCTTTCTGCACACATACAAACCAACCCCTGGCATTGCCCTCTGCCACATCTCCAATGGTCCCATGGTTAACTATATGGGCTTTCATGTGGGGGATTAGGGTTAAAACCCAGCTACAGTAACTTTAATTAAAAATTTCTACAAACTTCATATTGTTACACAATTACCCTCATTACAAACACCTGCTGACTTGACAAGCACAAGTTGGTAGAAAACACATTTGAAYTTGGTCAAAGTTCATTCTGCAAGTCCAATGCTGCAGGCAAAGCCATGCTGCAATGACATGCTATATGGCAATGCACACTTGTTTTTACATCGTAAAAACCCATGTCTAGTTATCAATGTTTTTGCAGCCAGTATCTTCATGACACTAATGTTGCAGCCTCATGTTTTCATGAGATTGTTTTGTTTAGAAGTAAAAGTGCACATGGCATGACACAACTTACAGTCCGGGGTTAAACATACTGCTGATATATTTAAAGTTTTGATTTGTTGTGCTTCCAGTCTAACAGCGAGCCTGAAATTTAAATGGCGACACTGATTGTTGGCGTCCGATTTATCGGCAATGATTTTCTTAGTTTTGGGTGATCAGACGATACTTGGATCAGTAGAAACGATCGGCTTATCATCTACCTCCACAAAGATCTGAGAATTAGCCGCTGTCCCCTTTTGCTCTGCTGTGAGTTAAAACAAGTTTGTATTTTTTCAAGGGTATTGTTCAGTGTTTTTCATAAAAAGATTGAAACATTAAAGGTGTATTCTGTGACCTTATAACATTAGACAGTGTCAAATATTTAAAAATCAGTATCAGCAGGTGAAACTTTTTAAAGATGATMGGCCAGAAAACTGCCATTGGTGTCTCCTAGTTGTTTAGGATCAGATTAAACTCTTCCAAGAAGGACACACGAGCACAAAGGAGGATTTATTTAGCTCCTTTCATAAAGTGACAGAAGAAGTCCTTTCATAACCGTTCAAAGTAGTTTCTCCTTGTATTGTATTGAAGCTGCAGCTGTTTGTTTGTAGACCTGCTTATTACAGGGACTTTTTAAGTTCTTGCTTCAGAGTTAGTCCTTGAACCATCTGTGAAATACGTGTGCTGATATTGGTAAAAACAAAAAGGCTGAATGTACAAGAGCAACTTTCAACCCAGCGCTACAAAAAAAGTAACGTTCTTTGAAGAAATACATACGGTCCACTGCAATACCTGGCAAAGTGTTAAAGTAATATTGATAGAGATTGAACTATACAGGTTTTTTAAGTGGGGTTGGGCATAATCGTATTGTGTGCGATTAATCGTCAGAAAAACATTAATCGATTACTTTTTGGCACTTGACGATTAATATGATTAATGCCACCAGGCAGACTGACTGGACATTTCCCCGGTCAGTCTGCTCAATGCTCCTCTCCACTTCTAATATGACAAACATTAAAAATAAGATTCTGTAATTTATTTATCTATCACAATTTAAAATATGATGTATAGCCTGAAATCTGTAATTTTTACACAGTTTGGATCAATTTTTTTTACAAAGAGCAAATCTTTCCCACTAAATTGGTCATGTGACCAGGACATGAGGGTGTCCAAGGATTCCAGGGGATTAATCTTCAAATTTAATCGTTATCCGCTAAATACCACAATTAATCGTGATTAATTTTTTTGCCAGTATTGCCCAACCCTATTTTAAGGCAGGTGCAGTTTATTTTGACATCAGTCTAACCCAGAGGTGCCCAAAGTTGGGCCTGCGGGCCAAAATTGGCCCGCCAAGCCATTTGATTTGGCCCACCAGTAGTTTTTAATTGCCTGTCATCCTCTGTAGAAACTCTGTATTCCCATGTACAGTAATTACATCCAATGGCCCAATGACTAAATAAGGGACTGTAGCACAGATAGCTGACTTTGCCACTGAATTATATTAAGATTATGAATAAAATACAATAAACCAAAGAAGATATTTACATTAGATTTAAGCACACGTAGATTTGAAAACTTTATAAGACCACAAATACTCATATTTTATCAATATATGAAATGTCCCATGAGCCTTTGCTGCCTGAGCAAATGTACAGATTAAAAACACAAACAAACAAAATATGGGCCACTGCACTGGCTCTTGGCTTAATCATAAAAAGTAAAAGCACTTTACTTAAGAAGTATTAGCATTTCCTCTATTATATTATTGCATTTGGCCCGCAGCCTTTGGGTAGATTTTCATTTTGGCCCTTTGATCGAATAAGTTTGGGCACCCCTGGTCTAACCGATCCCTGACGTGTGCTGGTGATTGTTTTGGGCTGATTCTTGAAGCCGATCTTGCTTTTCCTTCCTACGTTTCCATGATAAAAATGACACAGTGATAACAAATCTTACACAATCTCAATTGAAACAAAAAAGAAACGTTTATAAAAAAAACATAAAACAGTGGGTAGCAAACAATGTACTAGAACATTTAAATATATACAGTATCAGCAAGCCCATGTATTTTTCGACCTTTAATTATTGAGTCTTTAAGCAATGAACAATGAAGGAACAATGACTACAGTTTGACTCGTTTTGAAGATATTTTTAATTTCAGTGTAAATGAAAACTGAGTAAAAAAAAGGGAGCTCAGACAAAAGCTACGTTCACTCTGCAGGCAAATGCAACTCCGATCTGATTGTTTTGCCCCATGTGACCCATATCAGATGTTTTCATGACAGTCTGAAAGTGACTAATCCAACCCAGGCCTTTCAAGTATGTGGTGCTGAATCAGATACATATCTGTTTTTCAAAGCGACTGCAGTCTGAACGCTCGTGRYCACGAGCGTTCAGACTGCAGTCGCTTTGAAAAACATAGATGCAGTCGCTTTGGAAAAAAGTTTCAACTGACTTTTTCATCGGTGCTAAGCTAAGGGGACCAGGCTGTCTTCATGAGGAAAACCATCGGGAAATTAACTCGTTATCTTCAGAAAATGCTCATTGTTAAAACCATGGGAAAAAAATTATCTGTGGAAAACGTCCGCTTTTGGCTAGGTTTGGGCATAATCGTTATCGTGTGCAATTAATCGTCAGAAAAACAATCAATACTTTTTTGGCACTTGACGATTAATCCCCGGTCAGTCTGCTCGGTGCTTCAAATACGACACACATTTTAAAAAATTGTTCCGTAATTTATTTATCATAACTCTGGTTTTGCTTGGCCTATCAACACAATMAAAGAAAAAAGACGTATAGCCTGAAGTCTGTACTTTTGACACAATTTGGAAGCGATTTTTTTATGAAGAGCAAATCTTTCCCACTAGAGTGATTTAAATTTGTCGTGTAACTAGGATATGAGGGTGTCCAGGGACTTGTCAAATTAATTGTTATCAGCTAAATACTACAATTAATTGTGATAAAATGTTTTTTGCAAATATTGCCCAACCCTACTCTTGGCTTCCGGACAGAAGTCCAATTGTTTTATCTTTGTTTGTTTTATTTTCCATGCCCCGGATGACTGAKAATCCACAGAAACACATGATAGTAATGTTGCTGGATCGTATTGATGCTAAAGTTACTCAATCAATACTTTACTTCCAGCAGATCGCTTCGTTCCAAAAAATAAAATCCTACACCGGAGCATCCGGTCAGAGACAGGTTTAGACATAAACACTGACTGCAGCAGGTTAGATAATTATTAAATCGGCTTTGATTGAACAACTTCAGAATCGACATGCTAACATGTAGCATCCACGTTTAACTAATTCTGTAAACAGTGAGCTGAATGTGACGTCATGTCGTCTTCAGTGTGTGTGCGAGCCACATCAGGGCCACATTGAAAATTATAATGTGAACGTTCACGCCAAAAAAAAATCAGCCAAAGTTGGTCTATGTGGTACCTTCCTACTGAGCTGACCTGAGTTGTTGGTAYTTTTATTTCAACCTTCAACCCTGAGTTCTGTGAACTGATCGAGACAATTCACTTTGCTCCAGTATTTTCCTTCTCAACGCTCCCTGTTTTTCCCTTCAAACCTAAAGCAACCAGAGCACCTTCTGTTGAGCTTTTTCTCTCATCCCTTCTGTAGAAAATRTGCTCCAGTTTCACTGAATCCCAGCTGCTTCCATGGTCCAGTTGAAATGAACTCATTGTTTTGCTTCATATCAGTAATTGACCAGGAGAGGAGTGAGACAGCTGGCTGAGGTCTTCTCCCACCAACTGTTGGATGAAACGGACTCCTGTATGTTTTCTTAAGCAGGACTGTTTGTGGAGGAAAAAAAGCATCTTCACATTTAGTTCCTGTTGAAAACGACGTTTTAAAGGTTCAGATGACCTGGTGAAAGTTCCCGCTGTTTAAATTTTACTTGTCAGACTGAAGTGACAGCTTAATTAAAGGTAGACTTTGTAGTTGAATTAACTACAGATGTGTCTTGTGTCCAGGAAGACTAGTCATTTTTATTTAGTTTATACTCTTTACCAAAGGTTGATTTTAAATTTTTTAAAGTCTATATCTTTGTTGTATTTTATCAGATGCCAAGGCATGGTCACTAAAGTCACGTATCATCTGTTTGCTTTCTTGGTTTATAAATAATTAGCAAAAATAATTGGGTATAAATATACGTCCACATAATATGAATAGTCTCTCGGGACAATAATGAGACCCTTTTCTCACATTTGTGGACAAAGTTCTCTTTCTGTGGAAGTGGGGGAGGGCTGGTCTTGAATGGGCAGCTAAAAAGGATGTGGTTGTCACTGAATGAAATAAASTATGAACTGTTAGTGAACCCGGTGTGAAAGTAAAACCCAGAAAGTGATGCCAAAGCACAGGACAAAGGCAGCAAACAGCTGAAATTAAAAGAGGCTTATTCACATTCACATGAACCAAATGACATTTTTACATATCGTTTGAGCTCGCAAGTTTTTGCAGCAGGTACTTTGCTTTGTAAATAATCTACGTGCTAAGTCCGTGTGCCTGTTTACGCTGGAACAATCTCTGGAAATGTTAGCGTTTTCTCAATGTTGGTTGTGATAAATAAACATGAAAAAAAAAAACGTGTTTACGTGGATTTTGCTGTCCCCGTCGAATCGGCTGTAGTTTCTGTGCCAGGCAGGGTTRTCATGTAGGAAATGATGAGCTATCAGTTCGCACAAGATTTCACACCTCTGTGGGGGTTTCTTAAAAACCTCCACTGAAACTTGGTTTGAAAATCTTCAGTTTCAGAGGAAACGAGCGCTGCTGATGTGTGCGAAAACAGCCGAACCACAGTAGAAATAATATGGCTACAATAAAAAACAGCATTGGATGTCTTTGATCAAATACAACAAGACAGTCTTTGTTTTCTGTTTCTGTTTTTTTTTTGTCTTGAGTGTGATAAGTGAGGATCCTCACAGTGTCTACAGTTGTATAAATGTTGTAAACCAGGCTGAATGCTAAAATTGAATGAAATGGTTAAAAATATTTCATTTGTCAAGTTTAGATGAACCTTTTAGATTTTCATGAAGCTGGTGGTTGGGATTTCTTTTGTGGGTGTTGCATTGTGGTCTTTCTGTCTGAATTTGRTTTAATTTTTACACTGTTCTGCATTTTTTAGTAAACTGGTCAGTGTTGAAATTTAATTTTCCTGTAACCACTCTTCTTTCCTGTTTGAAGAAAGATGATGTCCAAAAATGTGGGGTTTGTGGTCGTTGTGTAAACAAAATTGACATTCACACAGTTTCCTGTTTTTTATTTATTTATTTAATGCAGTCTAATTTGTTCTTCATACTTTAGTTTAGCCGTTCGTGTATGAATAACGAACGTCAACCCACTGTAGGAACACACTAAAATCCTTTGAGATTAGTTTCCTTCAGAGGCGTTGTTCTCTTTGGTGGAGATCGACCATTAGAGGATTTTTAAGGCTGATGTCGACTCTACAGATTATTTTGACATCAGTGTAGTCCTATGTGTAGTTGCTGATTTTTTTATTTTGATTTTTTTCTGGGCTGATTTTTGAAGCCAATATTTTGTCTTTCATTTACATGATAAAAATAACAAAGGTTACACAAGACTCAATTTAAACAAAAAAGAAAAAAATATTAATAAAACAAACAAAACATATTAACAATACATAGCAAACAATTTAGATTATTTAAATATATACAATAAAAACAGTYTGAATTTGTTTATTTCATTGTATCAGTGAGCACATGCATGGATCGGTTGGTGCCAAAACAAGAAAACTCACAAATATTGTCTCAAAATATAGTCCGGCCGATCTTAGTCAACCTCTACACTTCAGGCAGAGTTCTTAATTTCTAAAGTACTTATTATTTTAGGCTCTATTTTTTTTTTGTCTTTTTATGCTACATCTAGTTTTTAACTACAGCTCTGCTGCTATCAATTTGCTGTTTTTATCTTTTAGTTGGCCTGTTGATACTTTTAGCGACAGGCCATTGCTACTTTCAGATACCTTTTTGCTACCTTGGCTTTAAGTTAGACAGCTCAAACTTTAGCTAACCTTACTGCTTTAGGTAGCTTTTTGCTAATTTAATAGTATTTTGGTTCTAGCCTTTACGGTACTACATATTTTAGCTTTTRCTAATTGGTTTTCTAACCTTTACTTTTAGCTAGAATTCTACTTTTACTTGGTGTTCTGCTACTAGCTTAATCTGCTGTGTTCAACATTTATCCAGATAAATACCAACTTTCTGTTGTGTAGACATGCATTTTAGAGTTGCTATGACACAGTGAAAGATTCTCTGAATATAAAGCTTCATTTGATCTGTAATGCACACCTGTTTATTTTAAAAGGGATTTTGGCTCTTTTAAATGTTAAGAATTTTTTTAAATATAAAATTGTATGTTTCTGATGCATATTTCCAGGCCACTGTTGACTTTGCAATACGAATTACACAAAATTATCAAAYGTACCAGAAGTTTGTTGTTCTCATACTCAGCAATAATCCCTTTTTTAGAACTGAGAGTTGAGTCCTTGGTACAAAGGAAAGAACACTGCTGTTACTGAGTTACTGAGAATTGTGGACGCTCTGGGAAATTTGAATACATGTGATAAACTTGTTTTCACTTGAGTGAATCACCTCTGATGGTTGTCTCCTCTTCATGGCATCCAGGTGCAGTTTCAGAAGGTCCAGCAGCTTCGTTTGTCCCAGTCCCGGGCGCAGTACTACGGAGGCTCTCTGCCTAACGTCAATCAAATCGGCAACACCAACACCGAGTTTCAGGTAAGATCGTGCAGGAACCACACGACCTGCAAACCCTGACCCGAAAGTGGCGACACCTTTCAAAAACAGGGAGCAAAATCATTTTATTTTCATGAATTCAGCTCATTTTAAAGACTCAGTTCTTAGTTTATTGTCCAGGTCTAAGAAACCAGGTGTTGTGGGAGGTTTGCAGGTGTAAGCACTCAATTTATTTTATGTGTGCTTGTCATTTATTTGGGAACGTTTTAAAAAGTTTAAAGTTTAGTAGCTGGAGGAAAATTAAGGTGGATTACTATGAATCACAAATTATTTTACATTTACTGTGATTTATGAGTAGTTTTGTGTTAAAAAGATTGAGTCTTAAGCAGTTAGTTTGCATGTCTGAAAAGCTCATTTCAGTAATAATTAGAAATGTATGTAAAAGTGATTTTTTTTAAAAATTGAAACAGAAATTATTTAAATTTCATGTTTATTACAGTTAAATATGAACTAGGTAGAAAAGAGATGGTGTTGTGTGTTGCTTTAAGTTGATTTATTTTACTGAACCTGAACTGTTTGTGGTGGGATGCAGAGCCTTATAATGACTGCTTTTCTGTTATTTATTCCTTGCTGAACTTTCTACATCAGCAGTGCAGCTTTATCACAAGTGCAGTGCAGCTGATGTCYCTGTTTTCTCCCTGTCTGAACTCAGAGTTGAATATTATGGTTAAAGTAAACTGGAGTTTTAACAGAACGAAAAGACCTGAAACAAATGTTTTCTTTGAAACTCTGCTTCTCTTGAGATTCCARTCTGCCACGTTCAAGGTCCTTCTCTCTTTTAGGAGTTTTTCAAGGCCGACTGTGTCCAACATCCAGTTCTAATGTGCAACTGACTTTAAAAACAGACCAACAGTAAACTAAACTTACAAAGAAATAAAGCTGCTTCTGAGAGTAATAAATAATTCACATCAGTTTCTGCCTCTGAGGGTGAAGATGGAATAAAATATCAATGCAATAATCCTCAGCTCTCTGAGATGTTTCTCTGCTGGATGTGATCTAACAGGATTTTATTTATTTATTTATTTTGCTAGCCCAGTACTCTGTATCTGTGTCAGCTCCCTCAGGAGTGCTGGGATACAGAAGGTCCAGGTAAAGGTGTCCTTGTTTTTGAAAGAATGGCCCTTTTTAAGTGGAGCAGTCTTTGCAGCTCACATGCAGAAATCAATCTGTGCACCGAGGAAGAAAAGCCTTCACACTCAAACAACCCGTTCACCTTCTCTACTGTGAGCGAATGCTGACAAACTAAATGACTCCCAGATCCCTCTTGATGATGATGATGATGATGATTCATTAACCCATTTTTAGTAAGACTTGTAATAAGTACCATACAACTAAGGTTGTTGAAATAGAACARATGTTTTGTAAATCATTAGTTCTCAGCCAGCAGGGGTGCTAATGGTACAGAAGCTGTCAAAATGTTTTATGTTAAATTATACATTAAAATGATTAAAGTCTGAGCAGACATCAATTTTCATAAAACCGTACTGTTACACTTAAGGGTTACTTTAACAAAAGATTATGTGCTTATGGAATTTAATGACCTAAATGAYACTTTTTTTTGTTAAACACACTGTTGTATTTCGATTAGAATGTCATTTATTATATATGTCACTTTTAACATAAGACCAATAAACAGATGCAGCATCCTGAGGCAAGCACTAAAAACAGTAAAAAGTTGTCAAATGAGACCAACAAATGTAAAAAAAAAACTGAAGTGCAGCTGTGTGCGCATCCTTATGCACTGATGTGAACATATGCTTTAGGTGAAAATGATATCCTTTATTCTTATGTTTATTTTACAAAATTACATGTGATACATTTGTTTTTCTGTTATACTTCAGATGTGAGAAACTCTTCATGGTGATTCAGTGTAAAAAACAAAACCCAACAACAAAGTTTTTGATTTTCAAAGGAAACACTGGACAGACAAATCATGTAGTTTCATGTTTAAATTATTGCTGAATGTGTGAATCTTCAACTCCTTGCACACACAAAATAACACGTTAGAAGGTGCAGCCTGGCATCTTATTCTTAGTAAGAGGGATGAAAGTACAATTTTTTTTAATGTTTATTTTTATGGTAAGAAAAGTTATGTGGAATCCATTAGTTCCCTAAAGTTTCTGGCCTTGGGGAGTGTGGGGCTGGTCAACAAGACAAAAAATTTGAGTTTGTCTTGCTTTTAATAAATAAATGTAACATTTGGCGAATAAGTAGTGTAATGGAACTAATACTTTTATGTTTAAGCTAGTAATTCATGACATCCTTTAATGTCCTAGGTTTTCATGACATGCTGTTCATCTGCAGATAGAATGATTAAAGTCAGAACAAGATCTGCTAACAACAATAATCATTCTTAGATATCACTTGTGTTTATCTTTGTGTTTTCCATTGACCTTGTATCAAATCTTGCTAAGATGACATAATGGTGTTTGTTAATATATACTGTATATACTGTATATGAGGCCTCTCATATACAGTGAGTGACAGAGAAGCAGAGGCACAGAGACAGGCCAGGTTATTCTCTGTGTTTCCTATTGTTGCAATAAAACTCAGCTGATCATCTCATGGAGTACCTTCACCCTTGGACCACGTATTTCTGTCTTCTAACAAATAATTCATTTAACTGCATAACAATAAGTTGGTTTATAGCTTGGATAATTTATTTACAAAGTGGAGCTTTTTCACTGCAGTGTTTTCTTGGGGGCTTCTC